TAACTCATTTTCTAAAAATAGCTATGTAGGCCTTTTGTTATTTAATATCCATATTAAAAAATACAATAACCATCACTCTACATTATACTTGACATCTAATTTTGAGTTCTATTGAATAAAGTTAATTGCATTTCAACTTTAGAGTATTATTTAATAACGTGCGAACTCGAAAAGATTGAAAAACGTATAAAACTATAAACAAATGTTGTAAAGATGTTCTCTAATGTAATAAATAAACGGTAAAATATTTTTCTTTTTTTTCTTGTCGAATAGTAAGGTTCCTCTTTACATCTAGCAATCCATTAGATAGATGAAACAGCGTTTATACGTTTCTTCACGTCGGCATATGAAGGGATAATGTTGTCAGCACTATGCCCAGTCGACTTTAATTTTCACAGTTTGATGGACTCATGGAGGTTCAAATGTATAGAACCCGGATTCGAACTCGAGACTTTTGGGTTAGCAGTCTAGCGCTCTACCGCAAGGACACGCTGTCCTTTCATTTCAAATATTTCAGCAATAAAGTGTGTTAATATTCAAAATTATGTGTATTAAAGTGGTGTGAGTATTGTTTTTCAAGTCAAACAGACCCCAACGGGAAGTAGAACAGGGCCTCTCTCCCACGCAATAGGGCTGGTAAGTAGGTCAACAACCAATTCTATAGCTCATGCAGGTTTTATTGAGCCGTAGAACTGGTTGGTGACCTACTTAACAGCCCTATTTGTCAGCTGTAAAGTTTATGACCCATTTTATTCCACCTGAGTTTTACTTCCTGGTGTATTGAGCTTTTCTGATTTTAATATGTGATGGAGATTATATTGTAGCAGGGGGGGGGGGTGTAATCAGGTAAACGTTTGGCTTTATTATTTATAGCAGTGATTAAATAACCGATCACTGAATTCAGTCAATCAAATAATGAATACGACAATTTCTAAATAGATGTACTACTAACCTACAAGAATAAAACTTATGTGTCAGTTAATGTATGCCATAAATGAATACTAAAGCTACAATTTCCAAATCATACAATCAAGAACTAGTAAATTGTAAGATTCAATTAGTGTAATCCATGAATTAGAATATTACCATAATTTCCTAAAAATATTAGAAATAACTACTGAATTGGAAGATTCAATGTGTGTATAAATGTGAATATTACCACTATTCCCTAAATTTATTAGAAATGACTACTAAATTGGAAGATTCAATTCGTGTATAGATAAGAATATTACAACCATTTTCTAATCCTATTATAAATGACTATTAAACCATTTGCTATCTTGAAAAAAGTTGCCTCCCATTTGTAATACCAAGAGCTACAGAACTTAAAGTAACAATGATCTATTTTTTTTTAAATACAATTCAAATGCTGAACATGTGTCAACCCATATTCTGAAGAAAAAAACCATTCCTATTCAGAAACAAAGTAAACAAATCCAAGTCATACTAGGTTCTATTTTTTTTCAAGGCCGAACACATTTGTTTAGTTTGATAAATTTGAACAGTGCGGTTCTTTTTTCTTTTCTTCAAATGTTGGCAACAATGCAAGGTGAACAGACAGTGGTGTGACGTCATACGGAGGACACTTCACGCTCTACTGTATTGTTTAAAATAAAATAAAATTATTGTTTTACTTCGCTCCTAATTGCAATGCTTCACACACTTCAAAATCAAGTATGTTATGCAGCATATTGGTCATTGACTCTGAATTCCGTTTGCTTTTTTTTTTTTGGTTCTCTTCAATGGCCTTTGCCAATCTAAAAAACGAACTACAGGGCAGCTGTTAGATTTTTGAGTTTTCTAACGTAATTGCTGCTGTCCCCAGCTCTCGAGGCTCATCAGGATTCGAACCCTGGACGTTTCGGTTCAGATTCTGAGCATTACTGACTCGACCACGTCGCCCCCTTACAATTCAATGGATATTAAGATTACTGGAATTTAAAATATGTTTATTCTGTAGCGAGCTAATTAAAATATAGAGTTGTTTTTTTTTTAAATAATCGTTTGTATTTTATTTTAATTGTGTTTAATGATACGTTTAAAAAAAAAAGATTTTTTAAAATCACTGTAGAATAAATAAAATATCTTTTCGTTGTGTCCCTTTGAGTTCCAGGGTTGGGTTGCGAAATGTGAGGGTTGGATTGAGGTGGTCGTCCATAAATGACGTCACACTCGTAGGGGGGAGGGGGGTCCTTAATTTTGTGACGGTGTGTGATGAGGGGGAGGGGGAAGGGGTTTCAGATGGTGCGACGTCACACTTTTGCATTATAAAAAAGCAATGTTAGAAAATGAATATTAGACGTTATTTCGCGTTTTAGAAAACTGTTTTAATAAACTGTAATAGGAATCGGTTAAAATACTCTATGTTGATTGAGTTCAGACAAGACTTTAGAAAAATATAGATGTTTTAAAAAAAAATTCAACTGCAAATTTTTTAGGGGGGGGGGTGTAAGCTGAGGTGTGACGTCCTTTTAGGGGGGGGGTCTGGCTTTTTGTGACGATGTGTGACGGAGGGGGGGGGGGGAGGTAAAAATCGTCAAAAAAGCGCGACCTCATTTATGGATGACCCCTGAGGGTTAATTTTCACCAGATGAAGGTTAAATATTAAGAGTAGGTTTGCTAGATCATTTTCGCTGCAATTGTTTTTAGTAACTTAACATCGTGCGGTTATTATTTAGATTTTTATTAATTAAAATAGAAAAAAAAATATTTGGTGTTTTTTTTTTTTTTAAATAATTTTTCTCCTTGTTTTTCTAGAGGAGCTTATTTATCGCAAGAATATCCTTTTGGCATTTTCCCAATACTACAGAATCCTAGGCTTTATAAATTAATATTAGTCATAGCGGGACTAAGTGCATTAGCATAAAAGCCCTCTAACTCTGTCTGTTGATTCCCTTTGAAAGAAAATTTATTTCGTTTTTATGTAACCACAGTTTTTTGTTGTTTCCTTTATTGAAGGGCAACAACTCGTCGATATGTGGTACAGCGAGATCAAGGGAAACAACATCTCACATCCAGACTTTAAAAAGGGAATCGGTGAGTGGGCTTTGTGTTTTGTCACATGGTGACGCTGGGCGGGGATGAGGAGGGGGCTGTCGGGTTTCCGACAGGGTGTGGGTGGCGGAGGTGGGTTGGAATAGATCCTTCATTCAACACATTGACACATGAGTACCTATAAGTGTTTCTTTCAGATTTTTTTCTCCGTTGGCGGGGGAGGGGGATGCAAATTAAATTTCATTGCGGAGAGTGGGGGGGGGGGGGCGGACGTTGGAAAAGTATCTATTTTCTATATAAATTTTGTTTCGTTCGGGGGTTGAGAGCAGTAGACGTTTATCGGGGGGGGGGGGGGAGGATACGTATACGTGTACGTGTACGTGTACGTGTACGTGTACGTGTACGTATACGTGAGTACGTGAGTACGTGAGTACCTATGTACGTGTGTACGTAAGCGTTTGTATTTGCAAGTGTGAGTGCATGTATGTTCCAAGTGTATGCTTAAATTACTCACTCGTAAGTACCAAGTAACAACATAGAATGAAAATTAAACTCTACTGGACATTTTTATCTAGCAGAAAAAAAAGTCATCACAATAAAAGCCTTACAGCAATATTACAGTCTATGAATGCAGTTCGGCAATCCCCTTAGCTCTACTGATCTTTACACGGTGCTGGGTTGTTAAACTCAGCTCTAGCTCAAGCTTAGATTACCAACCATCCCCTCTCTCCCACAGACAATAATATTGTTGGTGCCGGTACAACATATCAGCATTAAACGCCACAACATTCGTCTTTGTTCTATGCGGTGTATCATGGGATTTCCGGCTTTTTTTCCCTTTGAAGGCGGTGGGCCGGAAATGCTATCAAAGCAAATCATAGGGCTGATTGGTTGTTACAAGAGAAATTCAGGCCATTTTATCATCCTCGATACAACGATTATTGATTATCAGTATTGATACGGCAAAGTACTTCATCATTAATGTGAGAAATTCGTTTTTGTAGGCAGTGTATTCAGCACTGTATTATATTTAACTACTGTTTTTTTTTTAAAAAACGCAAAATTGCTTTTATAGTTTGGTTAGATCTAGAACTTGAGTTTAGGATTTGCATAAGAATTTAATCAAAATCTGAATACACCTGAATGAGATTAACAAGGTATATCGGATTATCGCGTCGCAGTCCAGTGATCTTCTGTACCTCACGCCGGTATATGGGATTAAGCTTAAACTGCTTGGGTTAATCTAACACAAAAAGCCACTGTTTACAACGGTATGTCTTTAAAAGCCATATCTATGCATACTTTGTGTGTAACTATTCACAGTTAGAGAAGGATTGAGTGGGCAGAAGGTAGAGAGTACGGCTGTTAAATAGAAGTCTTGAGTTCGTACCCCGGATCTGAGTCCGTAGGTCGTCACTGAGTTCACGCAGCTCTAATCGGTACCTGCCTCACGTTAGGGAAAACAAAGGCAGCTTTAAGTAGTGCTGAGCACACTATCCTTTCATATGCCGTGTCACAGAAACTGATGGACTCTATTAATAAATACTATTATTAAGTGCGGACGTACTTTAATAAAGCTAGACATTAATGTTGGTACCAGAGTAGGATTATCATTTTTGCTGTTCTGAGCGTTGTGCTGCAAAAGCACATAATCTGAGTCGTTAACACAATGTTTCTTCTATTACCATGGGGCGTTCAAAACTTGGCACATTTACAACATAGAACAATTAAAACATGAGACATTCAAAACTTGTGACATTCACAACTAGTGACATTCACAACATGTGATATTTACAACATAAGACACTCACAACATGTGACATTAAAAGCTTTGGACATTCACAACTTGGAACATTCACAACTTGGGACATTCACAACTTGTGACATTCACAACTTGTGATATTTACAACATAAGACACTCACAACATGTGACATTATCAACTTTGGACATTCACAACTTGTGACATTCACAACATAAGACATTCACAACATGTGACATTAACAACTATGGACATTCACAACTTTAGAAATTCACAACTTGAGACATTCACATCCTGGGACATTCACAACTTGTGATATTCACAACTTTGGACATTCACAACTTTGAACATACACAACTTTGAAAATTCACAACTTGAGACATTCACATCATGGGACATTCATAATCCGGGAAGTTCATAATCCAGGATGTTCATAATCCAGTACGTCTATAATCCACATTCCTAATCCAAGACGTCAATAACTAGAGACATGCACAAGTTTACTCCCATTATTAATGTCACTACCACCACAACATCATCTTCGGCATGTATAGCAACCACCACATCACCTTCGGCAAGCAGCCATGTAGTTAGATCTCCGCCTAATCCATTTATTTTAAACCAGTACTGCAAATAGAACGTTGAAGTATTAATGAAATAATCCATACTTTAATCAGGGAATTACTGCGGTCAGTAACTGATTCGATTAATAATTAAACTAATGTAAATACGTTGAGGGCTGAGGCAGTCTCAATCTTCGATCAGTCTATCGACCGTGTGCTAGAGAGATTGACATCGAGATGCTAATATTTTGATTATGAGCTTTTTCTACTCTATTTGGCCAACTTTGATGTTGGCGTCTCGGGTCGGTCGCCCCACCCGCCCTACCCTAAATACGCCTCTGCTACAATTGTGATATTACATGTTCAGATTTTACCGGTAACGAAAGAGATGTGCGTATAGCTGTAACGTGTTTTATCATGTATAATTAAAAGCAGTATCAAAGGTCTTCTAACTTTTCAGAGGCGTAGAAAAGGGGGAGGGTACATATATCCCCGGGCGCCGACCCTAGGGGGCGCCAAAATGGTTTTGAAAAAAAAGCGCATGTTAGCTGCAGTTGTGAATTATAAACATTAAAAAAATATCTGGAAAGGGGGGGGGAATTGAAAGTTTGTCCCCCAGCTCCGGGAGGGATCGCTACGCCTCTGTAACTTGTGCAACCATGCCATTTATTTTTTCAAAGGTGTTTTAATTGTTTACGTATTTAACCATGTCGTTTTTTTAAAAGGTGTTCTAATTGTTTAGCTGTTTAACCATGCCATTTTTGTTAAAGGTGTTCTAATGGTATTCCTGTTTTAACAAATGTCATTTTTCTTCTGACGTCACAGGTCACGTGACCCAGGTCGTCTGGAACGACTGCACCCACGTGGGTTTCGGCCGCTCCACCAAGCCGGGCATGAACGGCATGTACATGTACGTGGCCAACTACAGGCCCGGGGGGAGCTGGTTCGTGGACTTCAACACCCGGCCCCTACCCCAGCGCCGGTAAGCAGGTGAGGGGGGGGGAAGAGAAGTCCCAGGTATCATCAGTGAGGATAAGCTGACGTCTATGACGGAGATATATCGTGTTCTGTGTCGCGGGGTTAGAAAATTGTTGAACGTTATACAGTATAATGTATCAAAGAAACGAGAAATATAACGCATAAGTGATAAGTGAACTAATACATACATGTTATATGTGAACTTGTATATATAAATGATACATATGACAACTGAACTAACACACATATGGGTCAAGTGAACTAACGCATACAGGTAGCAGATGAAATATATTCACACATACGATAAGTGAAATGGAAATTTTGAACTATTTCACATGTCTGACGAAGGATCTACGATACCAATGTGCTATGTGAACAAATAAACATCTGTGATATGTTAATTATTACAATATATTAATAACTCTAGGCAACACAAATGTAGCATGTGAAGTGTTACAGATGTAGCTCGTGACATATCTCAACAAGAGACATACACACTACTTTACACAAATAAAAAGAGTAATACAATGTAACCATGGCATTAACAAGTGTGTGACGTTTTGTGACGTTATGTACAATTTCAATTTTAATCGAACCGGCATAAATGAACCAACATACTCTCAACGAAGTTTTGAAACGGCCACAAAATAAAATTCTTAATACATTGTATTAGGTCTACAGGTTTACATGAGCGTCTTGTCAATGCAGTGCGCGCTTATTGTATGTGAGCAGTTCATTACTTACTACAGTGTACATTCTGAATGTTTCCATAATTGGATATGCTGAGTTGACTTCTTCTTCTTCTTCGTTCTTAATTGAAAATATGGTGGAGGATTTAGACAACAAGTCCAACTTCGTGAACAAACCGGACTGTAATCTCCAGATCAGCAGGTGCCCCATATAATTTTTCCCTGAGTGGGGTGAGCAGGGGCCAGTGTCTGACTCGCGCCTGGCTATACAAAGAACATTCCTGAAGGACGTGCTCCGTATTTTCCGGGGCCTTGCCACAAGGGCATATTTCACCACACCCAACCTTTAGTTGTGTATGCATGTGTCTGAGTTGACAAAAACAATATAGTTACACCCCAAAAAAATGTTTGGGCCTGCGTTATTAATGTGTACACTAGTTACTTCGTTTTGAAGAATTTTTCTTCAATATCTAGTTCTATTTGCAATTGTATTGGTTAATTGTTTGCCATAGTTAAAAAGAAATAATGGCTTGATTATCTACATACTTGTGCATGTAGTAATAATTTAATTGACAAAATTAAGTTTTAATTATCACGATCATTGGGCAGAGTTGCTTGTATTTTTTTCTGTAGCCTATAAACAACACTACTCAATAATAATAAATTAATATAACACAAAAAATTATAATTATAACTTTTTTCAATGCTAAATTTCTAATGTAACATTCAATTTTGTTTATTCAAAATCTCATGCTATTGTTTTTTTTTCTTTTTTTTTTTTGAAAAATTTTGTAACACTCCCATTTTTTATCAAGTCAATTTTTATGAATTAAAAAAACAAGTATACATTGTTTTAAACTTTTCGAAGGTCTTCAAGACTCATTTAAAACCAGTGGGTTTTTTTAAAACATATTTCCTCCCCCCTGGGGGGGGGGGGGGGGGGAGTGGGCGGACTTAAATGTATATTCTTAAAGTAAATATAATCCATTTTTTTTCATTCGAGGGTGAGACCTGAAAGAATTGAAATGAATATTTTTATACACATACGACACATGTAAAATAAGTAAACATTTACTTGTAACTTGAGTTCACATCACTTAGTTCACATTAATGTGATTTTATTTTTACTCACATTAACTGTTACCGTTGTTGTATAGAGAAAACCATTTGCTTTGTGCAACTAGGTGTTAATGTTGATTGTGAAAACGTGTTATGAAAGTATGTTTCAATGTTAGGGAATGGATATTTCGAATAGTAGAGCGTTTGCTTGCTAGCCCGAAGGTCTCGAGTTCGGATCTCGGTTTGGACTTATGACTGTAGGACATCCCTGAGTCCACCCAGCTCTGAATGGTATATGACTTACGTTGTGGAAAGTACAGGCGGCTGGGCATAATGCTGAACACACCATCCCTTCATATGCCGTGGTAAAGAAATATAAGATCTCTACTTCCTTTGCCCAATATGGATCGCTACTTGTTTTATGCCCGCATGTTTTCAAGTTGACTTGTGAAAACTACACGTTTTAACGCAAGCATAATGAAATTACTTAATTTATGCCAACATTATATTATGACTTTTAGCTTAGCTGTGCCATACTCTTCACAGGGAACTCCCTTTGCTAAAAATTTTAAAAAGTGGATTGATAAATATGGTTTCCTTCTAGCATTTGATTGGTACCCAACTCATGTTATGGAAAGTAAAAACGGCTGGTTATAGTGCTGACCACATTATCCCTTCATATGCTGAGGTCAAGAAACACATGAACTCTACTTCATCGGCCCATTGGATTGCTAGGTCTAAAGAAGGAGTCTAAAGATGAATCCACTTTTGTAGCAATTGTGTAGTCTATTCACTTTTATAAGAAATTTTAGTAGATGCTCTAAATGTCAAAAAATTAGATTTAGCGTTGGAAATTTTGGAAGACTTTCAGAGGTTTGATATCATTGTTCGATTAAAAAAAAAAACATGCAGTGATTTTTTGAAGCTATTTTTAGCTCCGTCTGTTTTTGTTTCCTTCAAGTGAATTTTGTCACTGATCACTAAATGAAATAAATATTTCTAAAATAAATCATTGTGTTTTTTTCAATAACTGTAGTGTATTATTAAAAGTGATTTGAACTCAATATCATAATATAACTATACATAGGAAGTTTTACTTTGGTGACTGATAAAGTTACAACAGTTTTAGTTTTAACTTACATTTCAATCTTAGAAACAAAGAAAAATACATATTTTTATTATTGAGTTTATTTTTTTAAAGTGCATCCCACTTTTAATTTCGACATAGTAAACAAAGTTAAAAACTAAAACTAAACATATTGTAAACTATACAATTCAAATACACAAAATTATTGAACAAACTTCAAATTAACCAATGTCTTACTCTTTTGTGTTTTTATCTTTTATAGTTCAAATATGTTAGTTACAATGGATTTTCTACAGGTATAAAATTAATAACTAAATGATGATTAGAAAGTTGAACAACTTAATGAATGGTGGCGAAGTATGCAAAGTTAATAAAATTTAAAACGGATTAAATAAATGTGCTGAACATTATAAAATAAACAATGTCTACGTTTTTGGTGTAAATGAAGTTCATAAAGTGCGTGATTCATTTCATGAACATTTAACATAATCATAATTGAATATATGTGAACAATCGGTGATTCAGATTGAAATATTTGTTCTTAATGTTCACAAATAAAATTTCTCAAAATTAACAATATAAAAAGAATTATTTACATAATATAAATGTACTAAAATAATAAAGATTTATTTAGTACGAATTCATCTTACCTCTAGCATACATTAAGCAAGGAGAATATAATTTATCAACAACAGTGATTGTAAAACAGTAGCGTTGATTCTGATGGGGCATGATTGATGGTTAGATCAACGCTCAAAAACACATTATTTTCTACCGGAACAGTCAAAAACTATATTTATTTTTAAAATATCGACATACGACGTGGATTATTAAATTAAAATAGAGCCAGCAACTTACACGAAACAAACAACTATTTACATTGTGACACCGGCAATCGTCATTCGCCTTTTGTTTTCATATATCGATCTACACATTACATTTTTACATTCACGTGTTTTAGAAATGATAGGAAAGGAAATAATATAAATGAATGTTTGTAAAGTGATATATACAAATGTGAAAGCGTGTAATATAATGTATGTAAATGTACAATGACAGGCTATACATGTTTTAAATATTCGAGTACATACAAACATTAAACTTATAAAAAGTAATATATACGTTATTACAAGCATTATAAGATACATATAATGTACAAAGTACACGAGAGTAAATAATAGCTGAAAGACCCACTGAAAAAAAACCAGCAAATTCAAATTTTAGTAAAATGTAAATATTTAGTTTGAAGTTTTTACTTTTTTCAATTGCACTTTTAAAAAAAGCCCACTATATTTTCATCAGATATAATAAGTTTTCTATTTATTATAACTGAAATAATACTCTATTTAGAAAGTAAATTTACTTATGGGTTTACTATAATTTTAAAAAATCGATATTACTGGTTTTTCCCGTGAATATAGCAGCTATGAACATCGAAATATTTTTCAAACAATTTTATTCATTGTTCCATCAAATAAAAGTTTTATTCAACAAACAACATGTAAGAGTTTTGGCCACAGTAATCCAAATATATACAGTTTCAATACTTTTTGTACAATTGTTTTTATTGTTCTGTCAAATGAGAAAAAAAAACAGCATGTAAGAAATATGTCCAAATGTACAAAGTTTCAATATTTAATGAACACATTTTTTAATGCAGTGTCAAATGAGAGCCATAATTTACACACAAAAAAACATTTAAGAAATCTGGCCACATTAATACAAATGTACAAAGGTTAAAAATGTATGGAACATACTTTTATTGCTATATCAAACGAGAGCCATAATTTACACACCAAAAAAATGTTTAAGAAATCTGGCCACATTAATATAAATGTCCAAAGTTTAAATGTTTAATGAACACATTTGTATTACTATATCAAATAAAAACCTTCATTTTCAAGAAAAAATATGTCAGAAATCTGGCCACATTAAAACAACTGTACACGCCTGCTCCACAGGTGAACTTCCGCATTTTTCTGCTGTCGTTATGATGCAAAACACGTCAGCCTTAGATAGGCTGCACTATTTATGACTACTACTGTTAATGGGGTTCAACCATTTGCAGGTGTAGGCTGCACTTTTTTAGACTACCAATGTTAATGGGGTTCAACCATTTGCTAGTGTATGCTGCACTATTCTTGGCTACCAATGTTAATCAGGTATAACTGAACACAACCGATA